CAACAAGTGCGTCAGCCGTGACGAGCAGCTCTAGGATACATTTGTCATCTGTCACTGTGTATAGTGTCGTTGCGTTTGGATTCCCGTTTTGATTTGAACCTCTCTGTATTAAACCATTATTCTCCAATTTTTGCAAAGACAGTGCCAGAAAGTTTTGCCCTTTTCTTGTAAGCGAGGCACAGGCCTAACAATAAATCCATTTTATAATGTTTTATGTGGCTTTTAAAGCAAAAAAATGACAAGCCTGATGAGCCACTTCCAAATTGTCAATTGACTGTCAAACGCCGACAAGGAAAGCTCTTAATTATTACAGGGAGAAGAAGCAACAAGGAAAGAGGGAGAAAGCGGATGAGGGTAAGACAGCCTCCCTCTCGCTCCTCTCCCACCAAGCGCGGCATGGGATTTAGTATCTAGAAGCAGAGATCTTACTTCCCACTGACTCACTCCTGTTTACTATTTCTAAAATAAAAATCGAGGAAGTTTGTATTCAAAAATTTGGACTTTCAAGTGTCTTTAACAAACAAATCTCTATTATGCGCAAAATTACGTGAATGAACGGGGGATCGGTGAGTGGGTGAAAGGATAAAGGAATGTTTGGATGGGTAAGAGATTGATGGATGGATGGACAAGGAATGAATGGGTACGGGACAACTGGATGGATGGATACGCCTTGTATCGTTGCAGCCATTTATACGCAGATGGATTCTTTTGGATTTAGACAAATCCTTCTCCTTTTTAATCAGAAATCCTAACAGAACAGTGGGTGCTTAATTACCTAACCAATGAGAAGCTCCCCTCCATCAACCAATCAGAAAATCGCCTTTTCCAAAATTAAAACCTGGTCACTATACTTTCTCATTCCACTTCCAGCTCCGTCTCAGTGACCCACAGAATGCTTAACCTCTTCTCAAGGTCAACAGGTCGACACTACTCAAACAGGTTTGAGTACAGAAGCACCAACCACCCTCGAAGACAGTCGGTCACCCCAAGTGGAAAGACCATTAGAAGGCACACTTACGAGGGAATCGGAGCACTCTCACCACCCTTTGCATCTCCACTCCACCTCCCGAAAACAGCCCTTCTGTCGCGACGGATGGAGAACTCAGACCTCCTCACCACAAAACTGGACCAACTGTCCTGTCTATTGGGCTGGAAAAGAAAAGAGTCCCTCCAACCCGAGTTCTTTGAGGCATGGGATCTGCACACAGCCCTGGTGGGTGAGTTCCGGGAGATTATGAGTCTTGTGGAGCATATTGAAAAGGTCTATGAGACGTCTAAGAACAAACAGCCACTGACAAGATTCAAGCAATTGAAGGCCTGTGTACAGAGGACTCACTTATTCCTGCAAGTCTGTGCAGTTCATTCCAGCGTGGCAAAGGATGTGGCAATGTACTACTCGAAGAATGGAGGAAGTATATCGGATCGCAGCTTCCAGCAGTCCATTAAGAGTGGATCGGTGATAGGCAGTCGGGTGAAAGAGGCTGAAGCCTTCCGAAAAAAGGAGGAGGCTTTTGACAGTACGTAATCCTTTCAGTACTTTAACACTGTCTACGGGTTTTAGTTCAACTAGCAAAATATTTTATGCACGATTAGTTTGATCTGCCTGTTTGTATGTCTGAATTTCAAGGTGCATATGATGTTGATTTGACACCCCTTCTTGTGGTCTTCACTCGCTTCTGCCCACTTTAAACTCCCATGTCATAATGACAGTTGAATCTGGATTCCAACTTGTCGGCTAAACGAGCCTACTTCGCCTCAAATGCAAAGGTAGAGCTGTTTTTCCACAAATAGACTGCATAGCAAGTGAAGGTGTGAATTCGCTAAAATCACTTTGACTTCAGCTTTAAATCACCACTGCAATCTCAAGGCGGTCCTCACTTCGCCATGAAGGAGTGTGTCTCGCCACTAAGGCGTTCACTTGAGACTGCTGTGACGAAAACCTCAATTAGTATTATCTGTGAATGGGGATGAACCACACACTTCGCACCGACGCCGACCTAGAAGAGCGATTTGTGGTGGAAGCCAAGCAAATTGGCACCTGACAGGACTGTCAGTTTTTTCGTTTTCATTTCCTAGACATGTCTCCATAAATGTGAACTGTTGGGGGTGGACAGCTGGCTGTCTGAATGACTGAGTGACTGACAGACTAAATAATAACAAGGGATGGCTCTTGTATTCCAGTATTTCGTAATGCAAACAAACACCTCAGTGGTAATCTCCAAACGATTTGCTCAACACTCCACCACCCACTGTCCCCAACTCATGCAAGTGAGGAACACACTACTTCATCCCCAGGGGACTGAACTAGGCTGCCTTTGCGTGTTGTGCACTGCAAATAAAATTATTCACTAGGCGATCGTGTACTTGTTGAAGTCCAGCAAAATACAGCTGCGGCCTTTCTACTTCATTAGCCCTAATGGGACATGAAGTTCCGTACGAAAAAATTCATGAACGAGTTGGATAAGCATAATAAATTAATGGGAAGAAAGTAACGACTTTGCTTGACAAAAAATACCTCCCCCATAGTGGTAAGGAGTGGATTGAAGGGTATACACAAGAGAGATTAATGGGTATACTTACGCGTACCTTTCTATATGGCCTTGTATAATAGCATACTTTCTTTGCAGTGGATCATTTTCTTTAAGAAAAATCGGACTAACTTGCAAAATAAAATATTTTAGTTTTCCTACTTTACCTCATCTTCCATAAAAAGGAATTTATTAACAAGAATAACTATTAAATACGTTCTCCCTCTTCCCCTTGCATGAAATTTCTTTCTCAGAATTGGACAAAAGATGAAGCAAAAAGTATTTTCTATTTATAAAATGAAGGGTTTATACTGCTTTTCACATTCATTTTGTTCAACATGACCTCTGTTGTCACGGTAACCGCGTTACAGAAGGTCAATTTTGTACGTGAATTTGACAAGAGAATCGCCCATCTTTTTAGACTCATTACTTGCCTTTCAAGTGGCTGAACCACTCATGGACCTTTTGCAAGAAGCGTTATCCGTGGCTAGGCAGGTTCTTACACCTCAAAAACACATTGTACGACATTGTTTAAGATACGTTCTCCTAGTTAATCGAAATCAAACCCCTGTTTGCGAGAAAATAAACCTTTGTCCTGATAAGGAGAAATTTTTAGCACTTCCTAAACCATTGCTCTACCTTTTAATTTCAACTTGACTGATGTTTACTAACTTTGCTTAGGAAATTTTATGTCTGGCACGAAACCCACCTCTCAAAATTTTCATACAACACATACTTCAAAACAATACTAGAAGGCGTTTGCACCATATTTTTCCTCATTTAGGGGTTGATTTACAACGGTTGATGAGTTATTTGGGTCAACTGAAGGAGGAAAATGAAGTTTTGACGATGCAGAGTAAACTCCTCCTGGCAGAACTCAAGTGGCTCTGCGACCGATACGCCAATATACGGGGCGTCAACCCCATCTCCAAGTACTTCCTCCTCAAACGCATTATTAGAAAAGTCATCTATGGCGATACCCTACGAGAAGTCTCGTACGTAACAGCAAGCCCTTTAACCAAAGTGCATTGACCAAATTCTTTATTAAAGCGTCAAACATGACGCTTCCGACTAGGGAATGATGGTACCTTGTGGCCCTGGCTATTTGGCAATCAACGAAGCCATCCAGTCTTGATAAATGTCAAAGTAAAACGCTGAACTGGTTTCGATAAGGTGCTAGGTATTAAATATGAGTCATCAGCCCGTGTCCTGAGAACTGAAATCGGAATGTTAAAAAGTTGTACTTATTTGTTTTTCCAAAGTGAGAATATACTGAGTACTGACCACAATGGCTAACACAAACATACGGAACTAGCCTTTGGAAGTCACCGCCCTAAAAAACTAAAGGCAAATTAATCAAAATTATCCTTTTGTTTTTTCAAAAGAAACAAATGAGATTTATAAGCTGTAAATAAAGCACAGAATTACTTGTAAGTAAACAACACTGCAGTGTAAATAATTAAAAGCATCCACAAAATTTACCAGAAAAAAACACTTTCAAAGCATGTGAAATTAACACTTTGAAGACTTCCTTTAGACTTAAAAAACACCTTTATATTTTAGGTCAATGAAGAACCTCATTCGCGTGGTGACGTGATCTTTCGCCACATTCAGGACTCAAAAAAAGATTTGCATTTCTGTGACTTACGTGCCGAAAAGGTTGAGGAACTGCATGTTCTAATTGTAATATCCTTCATGACCAGAAGAAATTGGGAAACTGGCCTGTAAAATACTCTGATGTGTAGTTAGTGCTAAAATAAAAAATTTCGCTTAACTACTGCGTCATCATAATCGCCTGGACACTTGTCACAGTAGATTTGAAGTCGATTTTGCAAGTGGAACGCGAAGTTAGTGTCCACTTTTTACCCTAAAGCGATTAAAAAATGTAGTGGGCTTTCAAAAGAGTAAGCTAGAGGACAGATTTCTTTTGGAAAATTTAGTCAAATTCCATTAGGCGCCAACAGAGATTTCAGGGATGACAGCTGAAGGACTAGAATTTTTCGCATGCATAACCTTCTGGTTCCATAAGAACAAAATTTCTAGCAACTTTATGACAACTTAACTGCAATTTGTTTTAGAATAATAATGCTAACTAAAATGAAAAGGGTCAGCTTTTTGGCCACTGAATGGCCTTGATTTTAGTGTCCGTTTGTCATGTTTAAGTCGCCTAGTAATTATCGCTATTTTGACTGGGTACACAGCAGTGCCTTTAATTTTTCGACTGAACTATTGTCGGTACTCATATTATTTATTACTTTCCTTGCTTAAATTTGCTTTGAAGCCCAAATTGCTATTATTTACAAGCCCTATAATTCAGGATGTGAATCAAATGAATTTGTTATTTAGTACTCTTACTCAAGGAGCCAATTTTCATTACATTGTGCTTCAGTTCAATTTTACCATTTAAACCTATGCGGTATGCCTGTGAAAAAGTCTTCTCACGCAACAAATTTACCTTTTTTTTGCCAAATATTCTCCATTCCTCCTTCTTTATCTGTTCGCATCTACTGCAACAGAATGAATCCTACGATTTACTTGAGATTGACTCTACGGTGGGGAGAGCTCTATCCCCACAATAAATTTACATTGTGTTCGTGGCGAGTTTGTTCTTACGCCCACACCTTTTAACAAAAATATATAGCTCATAAAGAAAGATATATTTGTTTTCCTTTGGCACAATTTGCTCATTATATTCTATTGTCAGCCCAAATCTAGCCTGACAGGTTACATGATAAGCCTCAAATAATGGTGGACTGAGAGTAACCTTTCTGTATTTCATGCAGGCAACTAAAAATTCGCACTGCTTTCGGTCCAGCTCACTTGACTGACTTGATGCATGCAGTAACCTATATGCCAGTACTTTGACCCTCGCATCACACGGCATTTGCCGGATCTGATATATATGTGCTCTACCTCGGTTTCAAAACAGCAAACATTTCGTAATGAAGAATTGCGTGCCTCTAGTAGTGCATTTCCTTAAAACTAATGTCGAGGTCTTCTGTTCGTTGGCTTAAAACCGCATCATCTGCAAAGAGGAAGTCGTCCTAGTTGAACCCAAGGCAATGGTCCCCACCTGCCATGCATCAGAAACATGTAATATTCAATTTAAGAGACTGTCATTTTGTTTGCATACCAACCTTTCTTTTATTTTTTCTCACCTATTGTACATAAACGGCGTCATTGGGAAGGGACTGTTTGCCGACTGACTGGCTAACTTGTAAGGAATGCTTTTTTTCGGTTATCCTCAACCGACCCACTGAATATCCCACTATCCGCCCCCACTTTTGAGGCAGCCAGCATCCTCACATCCTGTTTTCCTTTGGCGATAATTCCCTTCGTCTTGATCATCACCTCGTCTTGGCAACAATAAGACGCCGTCCCATGTTTACAGAAAAATTGAAGGCACCGCTAGGGCAATGGAGGTAGGATAAAAGAAAAGGTGACTTGGACCAGGTTTTTCTCCCTCAAGAAGCACGAAACATTGCTAAAGGGGAATTGACAGTAGGCAAACATTTTGTTTGGCAAGTGCTATGCATGAATTTGGGCAGTCCCTACCTCGTGAATTCTTCTGGTCACCGGATGTCTTCACTATATTGTAAACAATTCAAGCAAGTAGATATATGAGACAGAATTAATCCTATTTTAAAAAACAAATGAAAATTTGTACGAAAAGACAGAAGTGTCCTGCCTTGGTCCCACCCCAAACTTCATGCTTTTAGAATTGCATAAAGTAATAGGAGAATTTCGGAACAACTTTGGTATACAATTTTGGCAATGAATTGTATAAAGAGAAAATAAGATAATTTTTTCATCTCTCCGTTGTTACAATGTTTTGACAATGCAGCGACGGGGTTTCGCCCATATCTCATTGGCTTACCATTGGCCCAGTGAGATTAGACATAGGAGCAGAATGATGTTTATTTATTTCCAAATATTTTGTCGAAAAAATCAAAATGTGTTGCCTGGTTTAGTAAATTTTGCAAAGGCGGAAACCAAAGTATACTGGCTAAGTTGACTTAAAAAATTTGGACCTGAGAGAGGTGTTTAAGTTCAATTTGGAAATTTATTTCGATAGAGGGGAAAACTGCTCGCCTTTTGTACAAAACCTTCTTCTACTGAAATGGTACACGATTGTTAGCATTCAAACACTACCTTTAAAAGAGCCTCTAAATAGAGGGGTCCTTCTGTACATCTGAAGTGATTCAAGAGAGGCGGCTTTACCTAGCACAAAACTTATCACGGGCTGAGTTCGTGGGTCGAATCTAATCTACTTGCCTCCTGGCCATGTCGATAGCCTCTCAGGCCATCTGAAAGTCTCGACGCGCTGAACTGGTGGCAGTAGAGAACGAACTCCATCCTAAGGGACATTTACCATGATTTCTAGCACTGAGTGATCAGCCTTGGCGTGACGGAAGAAAAGTGTATCCCATGGATGCGAAGATCTGGAGCGACCCTTAACAGAAGCTGTGATATTAAAGTCGACCTTCGGCAACTATCGCAGTCCCGTGGTGTGCAGGAAAGCTACCGACAACACCTATCCGTGAAGCATTTCAAAAGTTTGTTACGGAGCTGTTAACGCTACCTGTGCGAAGATACCTCTTCCACCTCTCTACTTGCTGGATACACGGCTGGCGGCACTAAAGTGAGATTAATGTGGCAGATAGGCACAAGCAGGAAACCCTGTCCCGACACAACTATATAAAGCACTGCCATTTCGAAAACCCGTCTACTGGCGTTTGCTGTTTATTTCACAGACTCCAACCTCTTTCCTGAAGGGCCTAGGTATAACCTCCACTTGACTTGAAGTATTTTTCCCCTGGTTGGTTTCGTCGGGAGGCACGATTTTTGGCCTCCAGTCGGTGAACCATTGCGTTTGCAATTCACCGTATACAGGAATCAACTAAGAGGAAGCAGAGTATTGAGAGAATGAAGTGGTTCCTGCCCTGGAAGGTTGAGGTGAGTGTGGAGTAATGAGTGAGGAGTGTGAGGGCAACCAATGATATGTTGGCTAACTAAAAAAGCCGTTTCTTCCCAATGGTAATCAGTCGGAAGATAAATTAGAATTCAGGAAGCATTCGTGGAAGATAGGCGGAAAAGGAACAAAATGAAGACAAACAAGCAAACTGTCACCTATTGTTGAGGCATGACATGTGAAACCCGTTTACTTGGCCTTCCGTGACAACTTCTTCCCAGTTGATAGGGATGTAAATTAATCGTTGTTAATAAGGAATAAAAAGTCTAGCCACGCTAAACTTAGAGAAATGTACTGGCAGAGACGTCATTCCTCATTCTGAAGAATGGAGGTACCGCCTTCGTATGAGTGATTTTCCCGCCTAAAAAAAGGCCAATTTTTTGCCACTTTTGATATTTGCCTAATTCTGTTGTGTAGCATGGTTCTCGCCAGATATGTCATTTAGATAAACCGACCCACGCACCATTTGCATTATCAAAGTGACCAATTCTGCAGTTGTTCCATGACTAAATGGAGGTGAAATTTTCCATTTCAGGCGAAGAACGTAGTTTTGCACACCGTCTTTTGCCATTGTTCTCCAAACGTGGGTTTTTGGTAGCTACAGCAATCTGATAAAGAGCACCTGTCACGTATTTGTGACGCCAGTAGTTCATCCATTAACTAATGCCTTTTTAGAGATGTCATAGTTTTCAAAAGTATAAATAAGCTATTCTTCTGGCCTAGATTACTTAAAAACGTTACTGAGGAGCTTTATTGAAGCCTGTCTAGTCAGTGACGTGATCCCGACCATCTTAAACGAGAATCTAACTTCTAAAACTGATAACTAGGTCCTTCACTAACGTTTATCCTATAAATGAGTGCGTTGACAGGTGATTTAACCTTTGCAAACCTGTAAACCGAACTGTTGGCAGCGAATGGGCAAAGTAGGAGGCCACAAAAGACGCTTCAGTGGTCTAAATGAGCTTTATTACTGCAATCTGCCATCCTCTCCCCATAGGACGCATGATTGGTACCCATCTCACTGTAACACGAGACTTTGTTCCCGTGCGCAAACAACTTGGATTCCAGTCACCTGTACTCTTCACTTATTGCTTATTCCATGCAGTTATCCGATACCAGGAGGTGCTGGCAATCTCCTGAAGAAGACACAGGGGATGATGTGAAAAAGTTGATGCACTGTTTGCCTCTCTTCCTAACAGCCTGCCTCCCTCTTTCCCTCCCTCCATCCTGTCCTCGACTCTGGTAATAAGGCCTTCTAATATGCGAGTTTTAAGGTGGTGTGAAGTGATTGGTTAACCCAGGCTGTTTTACAAGAAGAAGTGGTTCTGGGATAACCATAAGTTTTACTGCCTTCCAGCAAGTTGATGGACCGCAGTTGTGAGTAACTGGTATTCACTCCATTGTGTAGTGGATAAAGTAATCTGGAGATCACATACATCAGGCCAACACCGCTCACCTAGAGACTAAGTAGGTCGGGAAGGGGAGAGAGAGGTGGGGATTGTTTGGGGGTAGCCAATATCTCGTTCTTTCACTTAGTGGGATTTGGGGTACTCTGAAAAGCCACTTCACCACATACCAGTCAAAGCCAAGACAAATGCAGGAAACATGTTCATAAAATGCCCAAAAGAAGTGTAGATCACCAAACCCGTGACCTATTCAGCTTTCTGACATCTCTTCCTCACAGCTATTAGTAGGAGGCATTTCTGCGCCTCTCAGTGCACCTCCCCACTTTCCACTTGATGGGGTGTCAACCCACAGTTTTATCACCACGCAAGTCAAATATTAATGAGGCAACTTGACAGGGCAGCCTCCTTAAATCAACCACCACTCAGTACCTTTAAAGTACAATCAGTAAATAAGTCCTTCAGGGCTTATGAAGAGCTCCCTCCCCAAGAAAGTACATTAAACTGTCTTTCATTTAACAAAAGACCTCCTTAAAGTACATTGATGGGAAATCTTAGTACTGTTTATGTCGTTTTTACTTTCTACTTTTAATTTCAGAGCCTAGGATCGAGAGGAATGGTCAAGGAAAGAATTTGTCACCCTTTTCCACTCCTCCCACCTCTAGGGAACTGGTGGCTCCGTCTTAGTCACGAGGTTGATCCAATCTGGCTCATTTTCGACCCTTCTGTTAGGATTTGTAATAGATGTAGGAGTAGTTGCCCTTTGGGATCGGATTTGCTTTCCACAGCCAGCATTGTTGACTTTTCATGCCTAAATGGAGCACACTGTAAACCTCGTCCTCCATCTCCAGCCCGTGGATGGAGACTGTTGCAGACCCTGTGGGAAGAAATGGGGAAAAGCATGCCACAGACCTCATTGATGCTATAAGGTTTTCTTTAATAGTGTCCGACCTATTGGTTGAAGGTACCGAGGACGATGACATTAATAAAAGAGCTAATTTCAAAATTTCTCTCTGTGGCAACCCAAATTATGGTAAAGATAGGTACAAAAGATGCTCAAGTCAAACCGGGAATTTTGTATTTACGCCCACATAGAGGCATGACAGCAGGAGCCAGATGTGGCTGTTTCAAACGCTACAGACCAGTCTACTCTGGGCACCATCTATCAAAATGGCAGACAAAGTGACCAAAGTTTTTGATCAAAAATGGTCTTACAACCCAAATGCTTGGATGCATCAACTCGTGGATATGTGAAGCCTCAAATTCAGTGCTCAGCAAAGGACATTTGAACAGTATCAATCTCAAATTCGGTTGAATGCAGGTTAGTGAAGATCCTGGATGAGGTGATTACAGTCTTGCCAATCAGTGCTGAAAATCCTTAACGTTCGGGACGCCCGGCTGAGGCCCACACAAACTGCCAAGATGATTAATTCTAGTGGGCAATGGTTGAAAACCACAAATTAGTTACACAGGAACACTTAAGGGTATTCCAGCTACAAGGAGGGGTTAAATTCTGTATTGGATTACAAGATGCCTTGTAAAATGCGGTCTGGGACTTCATCTGATCGCATCATGGTGCAATAAGGAAGAGTGTCATATCACTTCAATCCACGATAAAAATGAACATTAAGACAAGAGGAGTGTCCAGTTTAAACACTGATAATAAAATGCGTGAATAAATACACCGATTGCAGCTATTTTCACGTCCTTATCTTTGGCAAGCTTGAAAATCTCCGTTTGACCTGAACGCCACTCGGCTTCCCATTCCAGTTCACTCTATACCTCTTCTGCCTAATATTTAAACTAAGAATGTAGAAATCCACTTCTTTTTAACTTTTTCTTACTCATTTTTATCACTTTATCCGCAAGTGTTTGGCACATCCATCCCACATGACTAATTAGGCGTCTGTCTATTCATACAATGGGAGACATTCAAGAAAGTAAACACTACATGTGAAAACATCTCGTTCTCCTCATCCCCCTACCTTGTTGATTCAGCTGGTGTTGTTTTGCTAGCACCAGTGATAATGAAGGCTCTCCAGTACGCCTTTCCCCTACCCACCGTTCTAATCAAGCGTTGCGCTGTCAACTTAATCGGTGTTTGTTTCAGGTCACCCTGGCACGTGGTCTGTAGCCAGCTAGAATAGATATAGATTCATTTCCAGGAATCTAAAGCCAACAAAAGCGAGAGTGAAGGGACCAAAATGTGCTGAATACGATTTCAAAAGTTCTTTTGAAATAGTTTGACGAAACTGCCAATCGTTGAAGTCATCTACGACCTCTAGAAAACATTTCGATTTAAACATTAGTAAAGTTTTTTGTCCTGAAATTTGGTTCCCCGAACATTCAAGAGCAGGCCTCGGTTTACCTCCTAGTTGACGCCTCTTCATTCACTCATTACACGTAAAGACGGTAAGGTCAAGGTCATTCAGTACACGAGAGTCAATAGACGCTCTTGCAGGTATCTTACTCTGGTTATACACATGTAGTGGGTATTAAAGTCCTTCTTCTCCCATTTTGATTAGACCGGTGTTTCTAGAAACTCCCTCGACTTGCCCTCTGATTGAGGTCTCCTTATTAGCCAGTATAGCATGTAGGCGGTAAGGTCAAGGCCACTCAATGTAATATTGATGTACGAGGACTGTACCAATCCACGACTCGGCACTCCAGATAATGGATGTGCACGGGATTATCGCGCCCCAACTGTATATAAGTAGTCGGTATTCGAGTCCGCATTTAAAAATAAAAAAATTATTACTTTCCCGTCGGAAGGAAAGAAAGAACATGGTGACAGAACGTCTGTTTTGTCTGGAAGTTCAAAAGACCCCATTAAGAATCGCTTTTGAAGCTACAACCCTCTGCATTGGGAAATTTAGGTCTTCAAGTAAGAAATATGCTGTGAAATTAGGGCATCAAAAAAATTTGTATGGTGCATGGGTCTGGGTAGAACTTGACCGTGTATGTGCACAGAAGAGCTGGTGGAATGTCAACACAAATGACACGCATGGAATGCGTCGTGTCTTGCAATCTGGTGAGTGTAGACCGAGGGGACTGTAAGTGCGGTGTAGAAGAAATAATTCAAACTCTCGATTTGATGGAATCGAATAATTTGTGTTTACGTGGAAGCAACGAGTAGAGAAAATGGTCGAATGTTCTTTTACGTCTACTTTTGTTTAAGTCAATGGAAAAAAAAATAAGTAGACGTAGTGAACGAGTTTAAGTGAAGTCACGGTCGTATCCTGGCACCTCGTTCGTGTCTCCAGTCTACTGGTTCCTCAGATTAGAGCTTCTCTACGCCATCGAGGATGATCGCGTCACTACATCAAGGACAGGAGCATGCAGACCCGAGGCAGATGAGAAGCAATCCCAATGCCAATTACTGGATGCCATATTCAACTTCACTGATGAGGGCATATTTTGTGATGGTTAGATTAGTGAAAGTTGTTGAATGTGGATTGACTTTTGCACATCGCTCCAATTTCGATTTAGACGAAGTCATCCCTGAAAGAGCGGCTTTAAAATTACGGCACGAACACTGTGGCTTCTATCATGGCAATGAAAGCATGAAAGTTATCTTCCTTGCTTTGCTTGCTGTGTGGAACGCCATCTGCCCAAGTACTGCTCGCCGAACTCCCGTCCCTCAGAGAGCTAGACATCTCCACCAAATCCACTGCCTGTTCCACCACTTATGGAGCAGGCAACATTTAGACCTTAAGGTAAAGTCATCATGGCATCTCTGGTTCTATCTGAGGACGTTTTGAATTTCACAGGAGCAGATTTCGCATCACTAACGGCCAAAAAGACGGGGGGTTACTGATATGGCCTGGAGGCCATATCGTCCAAGGAAAGTATAAAGACGAAGCCTTAATTGTTCACAAAAACAAAACTAATCAAAGTATAACACAGTCACCCATTCCTTTGAGCATAGTCCCCGGCGCTGCCCTTGGTCGATCTCCTGCGTCGTCCATCAAAACGTAGTCAGTGCCGCAAGGAAAAACACCCATGGACCAACCGTGCCAGGTATAGAATTCCCATGCAACTGAGGAGAGGTTTGGCCACAACGTCACGGATCTCCCTTTGTGATTTCGCTAAATCTAGAGTTTCGTCCTGTTGAAGAAGTGTGTTGGGGAAAGAAGGAATATGCAGGCCTAAAAGCAGAGTCATTTAATCAAGGATGGAGTTTAAAGCGGTTTCAAGAGGTAAGGATGCGCCCCCAATTCCTCCTGGATCAGTTACTTCACACTTCAATGCTGCCCAGCCATATCTACTGGGGTTCCATCCATCTGGTGGAAGTGTAAAGGAGCTATGATGTATTCACTTAATTGACACCTTAATGTAGGTGCAGTAGACAGCTCCGAAGAGTGCTTTTCTAGATGGTTTACAGCTAGTGTGGCCTCAGTTGTTAATGGCTTTCCTGCAGTACAGAAGACTGTAGTGTTTGCTGAAGGTAGTCGAGACTTGCAACTCTTCTATCAGCACTTAAACCTTTCTTCCGCCTCACTCTGAAACTCCGAAGGTTTTGTAATGTCGACAGAGTAGTGTAAATCTCGATCGGCTCTTGTATCACCAACCAGCCGAATCATTTCTTCCTGTAAGGTGTCCTGCATTGTTTGTGTTCTCTGCCTCCTAAGAACTCCCAATGCTTATGAAACTTGTCTAGTAGGCTTGAGCAAGACTTGCCTAGACTTGTCACGGGAGCTGACAAGCTGCTGGCATTTGCTACTGAAATCGCCAAGAGTAGTAGAAGGAAGGATAAGGACACGAAGTAATGCCAGCCAAGGCGACGCGCCCTAATGCTACTGCAGTGTCACTCAAATAAAGTGATTTAATTCACGACAGCACTTTACAATGCCGGCCCCTCCGATACAAGGCTGATCTTGGCAGTCACCCTCCTACAAGTGATGAAATTTCATCACCCAACTTCAGCGGCTGGAAGCGCACCTACCGAAATGACAAATGCGAAGGCATACGGTTTGCTGATTTGACACTTCCTGCCTCTCCTCACCTCCTATGAGTGGGTTGCTATTTTTATTGAATGATGGCAGGACTCTGATACTGAAGATATCTCCCTCGAATCTTGGTTTCTCCATCTCCCACCTGAATTTACAAAACCGACGTGATGGAGGACATTTGTGTCTGTGGATGCGCATTAAAACAAATCCTCTATAGTCTAAATGCTGAAATAGGTGAGTCGTCGCATAGTAGAGAGGGATGAAGCATTATCCTCCCTCTCTTCTCCCCATTCTAAAGCAACAAACCTCATCTCGTTAGCTTGTAGGAATAAGACTTCCCTTATTGGCTCATTAGCCCTCGCAAATTCTTAAAAAGAGGGTTTTCCATCAGATCATCAAATTTACATTGTTTTTTACTGTCATTAAGAAAGAGTCATCCTGGACGTGGTGGCAAGTTGTCAAAATAATCAGATAATTCGTCAACTCTTTGTGGTTTGTACGTGGAGCTCTCACACCATCCCAAAGAAAAGCTTTTACAACTCTACAAACTCGCCTTCTAAGGGCGTTGTAGAATGTAGGGCACTAAAATATGAGGAAAACTGTGGAGAGAACAGGGAAGAGTACCGCAGAAGCGAAAGTTTTTTGCCATATTAAGTCATTGTAGCAAGGTACACAGCAAATTGCATCAAAGCATTCGTGCGGCTTCAACAACCAACTTTAGCAAGAGCCTTCCACCGTCAATTGATCACTTGGAGGTGCAATTCGAAGACCAGGTACCACATTAATAAGGGGGATTGTTCAGTCACCCTCGTCCCATCCGAAGTAAAATTCCCCTTTTCAAGACTGTCCTCCTACGGGAAATATGGCATGATGCAAGTCCATCCAAGTAGACGTCGAGGTGCATCAGTACGAAGGCGTCGAATTGCAAGTGGTATTTTCCTTGCGGTAGCCAGTCCACAGCATTGTGCAACATTAGGTGGAGGTACCAAGGGCAGGGTAGTGATTAAAGGCAATATACAGAGTAGCTTGATGACAAGTTCTGCTGAACAAGCAGGTCGGCAATGCTAGCAATCAACTTACTTTGAATCAAGGCGTGGGCGATTTTGCCAACAGGTTTACCAGGAGGAAGTGGCAAAATTTGGGTGGGCCCAGAAGAGGGCACTGCTCTTAGTGATACCTGGGTGTTGTGACCTGTCGGACTCGTGAACTTGATGAATGATGATGAGTAGGTGGATACACACCAGTCGATTGGCACGCTGCGCCTTGTTGTGCTCTCCACTGTCTTCCTGCCAGTGTCGATTCCCAACCTCCTGCTACGTCTGCAGCTGACACTGCTTTAACCCCACAGATGTGCTTCTAGTCCTTTGACTCCACTAACCCACCCCAACTACCCACGAAGGCTGCAGTAGCTTTGTTGTAGTATCTCGACGTAGTCAGCTGCACAGGTCGTGTGGAGAGTGAGCTAGTGGAACCGACAGCTCAGTAGTAGAGGTGTAAATAACTCCGTTTGGCTGACGAGTTACGTAATGGCAACGCCTTGCGTCCACAAACGTTCTCCATCCACCCTCAAGCAAGACAAATCGTTTCTCCTGTGCTCAATCCTCCGTCGTGTGTTGTCGGTGACGAATGAGTTGAGATTGACGTGTCAACATCCTGCCATGACATTCCATATGGATGGTGAGATAAGTCAGTGACAGCCACCTTAACTGGACAATGAATGTCCTGGTGGAAGCGGCATGCCCAATGAGTTCCATTCACACGCACTCGCAAAACACGAACATCGGTGGTCAAGACTGTCAATTCGGTTCGTGCTCCTCACTTCTTTCACAAAACTTGCAGAAACGTGTTGTTCACTGCACCGCACCACACCGCACTAAACCGCACTGCACTGCACTGCACTGCACTGCACTGCCCTTGACATTGTTCGATGACTGACCGACGGCCTAGTTAACAGCGTGGCCGATTGAGGGGCTGGCAGGCCGACAGGCTGACTAATGGTGAGAAGTGTCCTTTGTTGAGTGAACGAACACACCATCGATATGCTCAAACGATCTACCAACACCACCATCACCAACACCACTTCGTCTCCACCACACTGTACTAACTTTGTCTCTCTCTCTCTCTCTCCCCCTCCCCCTCCCTTTCCCCCTCCATGCTTGTGCTGTTTTGCACACTCTATTGTTCACTTTTCATGGCTTATTGGTTCAGTCCTCATTAATGGCAGGTGGAAAGCATCTTCTACATGGAGTACACCTGCACAACCACATAACTTAGTGGCATGTGTGAAAAAAAGCTGGACCAGTGACTAACGAATCAGTGGATAGGAAGTCAAGTCGTTATTCCTACCAAACAGCGTACCTTTTGACAGCAGGGAAGCCTCGTTTTGAGAAGACTTGCACCACAGTCATGAGGAGGTGGAAGCAAATACTGTTCCTGTTCTAGGTTCAGCTTCATCCTCGTCTATATTCTCTCCAGTCTTACCGTTATGTTTCAAGTCTCCAGCTGATGATCATCGCCCTCATCATCTACCTCGTCGTGACATTGACAGTAGATAATGACATGGCCACAATTGACTGGGAGATGGAAGAGGCAGAGAACAAATCCTACCTTTCCTAGTGACGTAGAGAGGTCTGAAATGGGTGGATGAAGGTATGAAAATGGATGGATGGACGGATGGATACAAAAAAGGATGGATGGATGGATGGATGGATGGATGGATGGATGGATGGATGGATGGATGGATGGATGGATGGATGGATGGACACAGGATGGATGGATGGATGGATGGACACAGGATGGATGGATACAGGGTGGATGGACACAGGATAGATGGGTGGATGGGTGGTTGGATGGATGCAGGATGGACGATTAATTGCAAATTAACAAATAAACCTAGAAATAACGTTCAAACAGAATGGAGGCCCACCTACTAAATTGAGGTCTCAGGAAATTGTCTGCCTCTCTTTTTGTCGTATCAGTGTTCAACTCGGTCCATACCCAAATTTGTTAATCTAAATCGCCCATTTAAAATGTTCTTGGCTTGGAAACTACTGTCGAAAAACATTAACATATCCCTCTCCCCTTCTTTGGTAGGCGTACACAGCTGTCATTGAAAAAAAACCACACACTCAAACACACACACACTGACGACTTGTTCCGCGCTAGTAACTACGCACACCCGTCTTCTGTTGTTGCTTATTCACTTGTGGTTTTGAAGTAAACAAAAACACATATTTGTGGTTTGTTGTTTGTTTTAATCTACAAAATGCATATCCGGTGCATTTCTTCCCTGGGCTTCGAACTTGGGCACAAAGGCGGGTACTACCCACTAACTGCTGAATTCCGACTTTTGCCTTTCCCTAACACCAATTAATTGAGGCTAAACGATACAAAGCTATTAATTATCATTTGCTGACTAGGTTTATCTATTTTTGGGCAGTATTAACCATAAAAGGTGATAAGGTCAACAGTTTAGCTCTCGGTGTTGACATGACAAGTACATATCTTAGTGTTTAAATCCACACCTTTGTCCTGGATTGCCAAAAATGGGATATCCTACCGCTTTAATACACCTTATTGTGTACTCTGTTACCTTACTCCGATTTTAAAACCCCTAAAAATCATAAAATACTGGTTTGATGGGTATGATGGCTGCACTTTGACCTCTGTTGCTGAACAAATGGACATCAACTCGGTTGTGGGGCTGTAGAAACCTCTCGGCAACTTTGTCCCTTCACTGACGGAGAAAATGTGGCGAGAAATACTTTGAATTGTTACGTACTGGTGGCGAAATTCAAAGGCAAATGGACCGTTTTCAGGTTAAAAATCCTCTACTCCTGGCAATGAATTCATCCATTTTACTGTTTGGCATCTGGCTTGGTGTCCTGGTGCCTGGGTTTGTGGCAGATTGCAGTACACCTCGGTGACCGTGGAAGCAGTCAAAGAGCACCCCTCGGACCTGGAGTTGAATCCGAGCCGCTAGACCATCACGGATACAATTTCGCGTTCTGCGTACCAAAATTTCCTCGCAAACCTCCTCTCTCCCTCTACCCATCACTACATTCATCTGTGTCCTTCTATCTCTGCTTCTTCTCTGTCTTACTGCCTGTACGTCGCTTTGCCTGCCTGTCTCCCTCTATCTCCATCTGTCTGCCTGACAGCGGTTACACACACACATACTCCTCTGCTTGATGTGAATTATGAAAGTCTCCTCTGATCCATGTCATATTGTTTGTGTCAGACTGGCTACCGGCTGATGAACAGACTGAGCAGTAAGCATTGACAGCAGAGTGGTGCCCATAAGCCAAAGAACGGTGGATCTAAACCACTGTCTGCTAGTCGGTCGGTCGAATGGACGGTAGATGACCCGTCGCGTCTCGTAACAGTTTTTCGGTAACCTAGAAAGTCAGATTATCAAACGCTCATCTGCCACGGCTTTAAGTCAGAATGGAAGTGGGAAATAAAATTTCTTCTTGAGAGATAGGCAGGACTTAAAATTAGTCGGACATGACAGTGCGGCGAAGGACCTCATAGCAAGTCAAAACGTACTGCTGCGAAGAGGCACAGGCTCCTCTAAGTGATGTTTTCCAACTTTCCCCATCAGCATTACACAACCGTATTATTAAGTACGGAACGAAAGTGAAAACTGAAAGATAAAAAGGAAGTTGAAATGGAACAAACTGAAGCTAGGCTCTGTAACTCCATCGTGAAACACTTTATCAGGAAATAACGCCTTTTATCAACTTTAGAAGCACCTGAAGTGGGGAAATTGAGTCATATGAATGTATATATTCTTTCTCGTCTTTTAATTGAAGGAATCAAATAAATTGCATTGGCGTTATACATAAAATATCTCAAATTAGCTATTTTTCCTGTTTCAAATGGAGTCAACTCAAACATCCTGCTACTTAATTATTTAAGTAGCAGGTGCTACAGGGAATCTCATTCCATCTGAAGCGAGAGTAACCAAAGGGAGGACAGGAGAGAAGGGGTAATAAAAGACTGTGTCGAAGAATAACATATGTTTTTTTTAGAAGGCTTTTTATCCCTCCTCATAGTCGTCCATCACTTTGATTCACTTCAAAATAAACCTCGTCCCGTCACGGAAGAGGTTTTTTTTACGTGGGACTGGAGACGCCATGGAATTTTTGTGAAGCATAAATACAGCACAAAATATTTCTCTCCTCGTTTGTTTACCACGTACTGTAGTTTTCGATTTTATTTACTTTCGCTCTTGAAAACAAATCAATGTGAGTGTAACGAAAAGCCGGTCTTCTTGAGTCATTGAGCACTGAGAGGTGTCACAAATCCACAATTGTCATTATACACAATAAAATGCCAAAATAAGTCTAAATTTGAGTTTCATTGGAGCGATTTACCCATGTTATTGTTGAGCATCCTGCTGAAAACGCCATTCCATTATTTTGTGTATAGAAAGAGGAAACTGATCTGATCGGAGCTAAGGCTAAATGACCCAAATTAAGGGAGACGAAAACAGGTTTCAATCGCTATCGCCACTCTCGACCACTGGACTCGAATCGGCTCCACTGAAACCACCTATTTGGCGCTTAAAAATGCGAACTCTTTAACTGCTCTACAAATCACTGGACTCGCATGGATTGCCAAGGGGCTGGTTTGCAGAAAACTTATAATTCATTTGCTTATTCCTTCCTTTTATAGACATATCGCCATGGCTACGAATTTGTCATCCTTGTGAATTTTTCTTTTTGGCACCGATTAACCCCAATGGGCGAGTACAAATGGGAAAAACCGTACCATTTACAATGAATGAAATACCTCTACGGACGTATCATACCAGACAGGTTTACAAGTACCCTGCGCGTCCACCAGATTTCATTTCAGTCTTTTTTGTATGAGAAACTAAAAAATGAATTGGTTTTATTATCTCCCTCCCCTTTCACTCGCTTCTCGTGAGAGTGCACGCCCCTAAAGGCCGCTCTCTCGGGCAAGACCGCGCGTGCCTTGCAACCTTGACGAGCGTCTATCGATTTTGGCTATCGATAATTGCGCATTTGGGCGTGCGCTTTGCGAGGCGTGTGAGCGTACAGCGCCCCTGCAAATTGACTATCGATTTTCTACTCGGTCACTTTCACACGCGCGCCTCAGAAGGCGTGACCGTGACGAAATCCAACAGCTGGACGATGAAATAAATGAAGATGAAGGCATCGCCAAATAACTTTGAGGGCTTTGCTTACTATTAAATGACTTAGGTAAGTTGCACATACTACTGTTATTCAATTAGGCGATCACCATTAAGGCTTACTGCTGCCCACCGAGACATAGGGCTTGTTTTAGGCTGTCCATCTACTTATCCTCGCTCACTTTCACGAGCGTTTTAAGATTTAACCATGGCATATTTTTAATCTGCATGATAAAGCAACTTAATGCAGGGTTTAGCCAAATAAATTTAAGGGGTTTTGTCTCCCACTCATTAGATACCTTTAAGAAGGCTGCATATACTACTGATGTAAAACTAAGCAACCACAATGACTGTCATTTACCGTTCCCCGACGGGATTTTAAGGTTGCTGTGAGCCCCCATGTTATGATTTATCTTGCTTGTGGAGAGGGTCTGCTTAATCCCATCCACAGAGTTTCAATCTCACCCTTATACCATATACCTTAAAAAATTCTGAGGGTATTAGTGCCTAAAAATAGTTAAAAAACTACAATTCCTAGGCCTCTAGCAACAATCTCCATGGTTTGATTTTAAGGGAAGAGAAGAGTGGAAATTCGGTATCAATCTCTACTTTGTGCCCAAGTTTGGAGTCAAGGGAAGGAATGAGCTGTATATGTATTTTCTTAATTAAAACAAACAAAACCACCAATGCGTGTTTTTGCTTCCTCGCAAAACAAGTGAATGAGTAACAGGGGAACCCGGGTAGGCTTGGTTGCTACCTGGCCACATGTCGTCAGTGTGTATGTGTGCATGGTTATGTCAGTGACAAGCGTATGCTGATCTACAAAAGAAGGGGGAATGGTCTTGTGTTACTAAGCTTTTGGACAGTTGTTACCACGACACAAATGCTTTAAATGGAGGTTTTTAAATTGATGAATCTATGTTTGATCTTAAAGGCCGCTATTACAGTAAGATGGAAGGCAAAAAAGCATGCTGAAGCATCGAATTGTTAGGGCGCCTTTGTTACTACCTCGTATCCATCCATCCCGCATCCATCCATTTTCATACCTTCATCCACCCATTTCAA